GTTTTTTGTTTGGTCACAATAGCTATTTGTAATATGTCCCAAAAAAAAAAAAAAAAGAAAATATAATACCAATATGTACCATCAAAACATGTAAGCAGTATAGATGTGTAAAAAGTAAAAAGAAAAGCTGGGCCAGGTGCAGTGGCTCATGCCTGTAATTCCCAACATTTTGGGAGGCCGAGGTGGGTAGATCACTTGAGCTCAGGAGTTCAAGACCAGCCTGGCCAACATGGCACACCCCTGTCTCTACAAAAAAATATGAAAAAAATTGGCTGGGCATGGTGGCATGCCCACAGCTACTCAGGAGGCTGAAGTTGGGGGAACCTCTTGAGCTTCAGAGGTTGAGGCTGCAGTGAGCCGTGATTGTGCACTCCAGCCCCGGTGACAGAGTGAGACTCAAAACAACAACAAAAAAGACAAAGTAAAAAGAGGCTGGGATGGTGGCTCACGCCTGGCCACTTTCTTCATTGCTTATAACTAATCAAACATTTATGGATGTGCGTGCGCGCATGCGTGCACACACACATACACACACACACAGACTCTTCTACAACTTGCTTTTTAAATGTAACAATAATACAGCTCTAACTCTCTATGTCCACAGAAACAGTAGTCACGGACTGTAAGAATTCTATGGGCTTTCTGGAACTTTTCTAACTTTCTTACTCTGGTTAACTGTGTTAGTCCCTTGGCTGTTCCCTATAGAGATCTTCATAAAACCCTTAAAAAGAGGGTGGGGTCCTTTTCTAGTGATGAGGAAACCGATAGGGGAAGTGATTCCTCAGGACTGTGCCCTTTCTAACCCCTATCCTGCCGAGAGTAGTGAGGATGGGCGGGAGCCCTGGAGTGGCTGCATCCCACTCCATAGCCTGTCTTGGGGACAGGAGCCCCAGGGACCAGGGTTAGTGGGGGCAGCTGGAAAGAGATGAGGAGGGCCTGAGACTTTCTGGGCCTTGTGGGGCAAAGTATCCTGGGGAGCTAGTCAGAACTCAAGAAGAGCATTTGGAGACAGCCAGCAGGAGGTCCATGGGATCCACCCACACCAGCCTCAATAGCCCTTGGAAATTCCAATCTGGTTTCTAATCCGAAGGCCCTTCTGCTGCCCTCCCTATTCCATGGCCTCATTCCTTTTTTTTTTTTTTTTTTAAGACCAAGTCTCACTCTCTCACCCAGGCTGGAGTGCAGCGTGTGATATTGGCTCATTGCAACCTCTGCCTCCTGGGTTCAAACGATTCACCTGCCTCAACCTCCTGAGTAGGTGGGATTACAGGCACATGCCACCATGCCCGGCTAATTTTTGTATTTTTAGTTGAAATGGGGTTTTACCATGTTGGCCAGGCTGGTCTCGAACTCCCTACCTTAGGTGATCCACCCGCCTTAGCCTCCCAAAGTGCTGGGATTACAGGCATGAGCCACTGCACCTGGCACCTCATTCCTTTTGAACTGGGTGGCTGTTTCGGATCTGGTAAGCATCAAGGCTGTGCTGTTCCTTCACCAGCACAGGTGGGGACAGTGAGCTGATGGAGGCCAGAGGCGGACCCTCCAGGCTTCATACTTGCCTGTCCCTCCAGCTGGAGGCAGGTTCTCCTTGCTGCCATCTCTAGGACGCCTGAAGGGGGCGCCCTGACACCCAGTTGTGAAGCACTTCTGAGTCGAGGCTGGGAAGAGGGAGAAAGGGAACTAATTTTCGGAAGTACCTACCAGGAGCCAAGAACATGATGGGTGCCTTATATAACATCTCTTATCCTCTCATTCCCCCCAAGTAGCACATACTCCCATTTCACAGTCGTGGAAACAGGCTCACAGGAGTAGGCTAATGTGCCCAGGGCACTTGACTATGTAGTGACTGAAACAAGTTTCAAACTCAGGTCTGTGTTACCATGCCACCATGCTGCTTCAAAGATTTCCTAGCAGATGAGCTTTTTCCACAACCATCCAAATACTTTATCCAAACTTCATCTGAGTTTGAAATATTTACATCTTGAGCTAATGTGGGAAAGAAAGACTGTAAGGAACAGGCCAGGAGGCTGGGTGCAGTGGCTTATGCCTGTAATCCCAGCACTTTGGGAGGCCAAGGCGGGTGGATCACTTGAGGTCAGGAATTTGACATCAGCCTGGCCAACATGGTGAAAGCCTGTCTCTACAAAAAAAAAAAAAAAAAGTCAGCCATGGTAGTGGTGGGCAACTGTAATCCTAGTTACTCAGGAGGCTGAGGCAGGAGAATTGCTTAAACCTGGGAGCTGGAGGTTGCAGTAAGCTGAGATTGTGCCACTGCACTCCAGTCTGGGTGACAGAGTGAGACTGTCTCAAAAAAAAAAGTAGGCTGGGGGTGGTGGCTCACACCTGTAATCCCAGCACTTTAGGAGGAGACCAAGGCAGGGGGATTGCTTGAGCCCAGGATTTCGAGACCAACCTGAGCAATGTAGCAAGCCCCCATCTCTACAAAAAATAAAACAATTAGCTGGGCATGGTGGCATGCACCAGTAGTCCCAGCTGCATGGGTGTCTGAAGTGAGACAATTGCTTGAGCCCAGGAGGTTGAATTGAGGCTGTAGCGAGCTATGATTGTACCACTGTACTCCAGCCTGGGTGACAGAGCAAGACTCTCTCTATATATTTTAAAAAGTTATTACAAATCTGAATTTCTTTCCAGAACGTCTCTCTTCCCAGGTTGTAATAAAGTTAGGTAGTTACCTTTAGGTATAATTAGCTCACTGTGCCAAAGTCACTCTCCCGTCCCCTGGAGACCGTCCCTCTGTCCACCGGATGTGAGAAGGGTAAGTCAGACTGCCCACCGGCCCCTCCTCCCTCTCGTGGCCCTGTGCCAGAGGTATGGATACCTGACCTGACTCTGAACTCTGAAT